ATACATCCAATGACCAATAGGAACGTACATTGCATCATCCTAGTATACATATTTCATCATCATCTTTCATCAGCTTCTTTTCAGCTATAATGACTCAGCATTATTTCTGCTGATTAATGTTCTGTATTGTAAATTCTGATGTGTATTTCTACAGAGATCAACATATAAAAATGCTTGGGGTAAAAGTGGGCTTTGGTTGTGTTTGTGGCAACCTGGCAAAATGCATCAAAACTAACAAGTGCTGGGACTGTCCGTACCGTTAACAGGGAATGTGCATTTGGCATGAGCATGACTAATGCTGATAATCTTGGCTACACTTTTTGTTTCTTACTAAAACGTATTATGCAAAAGCCTTGACTGACCAAAGCAATGATAGCTAATGGGGGTCAGTGTCTGTGGGCCCATCTGGTGACAAGCATGGCGAATGGAAGACTGTGACTTGGAATGGAAGAAGAGGTAGATGATAAAGAGCATGAATGAATGAAATAAAAGAAAAATAAATCTGTTGTGTATCTGTGAAACTAAGAGAAAGGGGAAGGATATAATAGACCTGAATAAAGGTGATTTGATCTTGTGGAGTGGAGTTGATTGAATATATGCAGAGAAGTGAAGGGGTACATGTGATTATGAATGAAGGGCTAAAATGTGTGTCAATAAATATGAATTGGTATCATCTAGGTGGTTATGGGTGCCTGTGAAAGTAGGATTCCATAGGTTGGTAAGAATTGCAGGTAATACCCCAGTGAATGGTGATAATGGAAGAAGAGATACGAATTGGGGGAAAAATTGGATCATTCTGAATGATCTAGAGGAAAAATACTTATTCTGCTAGGTGGCATGAATGAATGGATGAGTGGGAACAAGAGAGGAAGATTCAGAAAAAGTGATTGCCCATTTGAGGACCTAAGAATGAATGAAATAGAGACTGCTCGGGAGAAGATCTGTTTGTTTCCAATATGTGGATTAAGTATATTTATATGTACATGTGTCAAAAGAATGACTATAAACCTGAAAGTAAGATCAATTAGATTATGATGAAAGATTAAGAGGATTCATGAAGGATATACTGTAAAGTTATATGAGACATTCTGAATGTTGCACTGATCTCTTTTTTTGTAACATCAAAAGTAAATTTTGGGAAAAAATGGAAGGAAAGAAAAGAAGCAAAAGAAAAATGGAAATCCAACATTTATACTAGTCCTGACTGGAAAAGAATTAGATTAATCTCTCAACAGAATGAAGAGAAAGTATATGCAGGTTGTGGAAACTGCTTGGAAGACCATGGAAATGATGTCACCGAGTGCCACAGAAGTGTGTGGAGTTACAATAATGAGAAGTGTGGAAAAGGCTATTTGGTGGAATGATGAAGTGAAAAAAGATTGTGGAGAGGAAAAAATTATAAAATTATATGAGAGAAAGTGTGTTGAAAAAAATGAGGATGGAAAGAGATGCTGTGTAATGTGTACAAAGAGAAAAAGACAGTTGCAGAGAACATAGACAGAAAGCCTCAAGGAATGGTTGAGATTAAAATGCCGAATGATCTTGATGGAATTAATTTTTAAAAAATGTTTTGGAAGTCGATGAGAAGGGCAAACAGAGAACCCCAGCAGAGTGAAATGAATGAAAAGTAAAGGTGATAACCCAATTTGTGCTTACACTAAAGTGAGGGAATACTAGAAGTATTTTAGACATTTTATAAAAAAGGTACTGATATATTGAAGAGTAGAATGGGAATGAATGTTTTAAATGTTACTGAGACCATTAAAAATTGGTGTGGTTGAAGGTGTAAATGGTTTAATTGGAGAAATGTTAAACTGTAGATGTGGTTTTCTAATGGAATGGTTGTGTGGCTTGCTTAACCTGTGGGATGACTGACAAATGAAAGAATGCAATTATTGTCCTCCATTGCAAAGGGAAAATTAGTAAGAGTGAACACAAAATCTGTGGGAGGATTAGTTTATTAAATGTACCTGGGAAGGGGGTTGGCAAATTCTGATTCAGAGTCGAAGTGACAGTGAAAAGTGACAGTGACAGTTGGGCACATACAGTATGGCTTTGTGCATGGCTAGGGCGTGCAAAGAGTTTTGCTCTTCAGGTCACTGAAAAATATACAAATATGAAACACAACATGTATTTTATGTTTGGTGATTTAAAGGAACTATATGATAGTGAATAGAGAGCCAGTTTGGTGTAGTGGTGAAGGCACTAGGCTAGAAATCGGGAGACTGAGTTCTAGTCCTGCCTTGGGCATAAAGGCAGCTGGGTGACCTTGGGCCAGTCCCTCCCTCTCAGCCTTAGGAAGAAGATTCCACTGAAAAGCATATGGGATTCTTGTAGCTGTTACCATGTACAAAGCCAATTCCTATGCTTTTATAGGAAATTAAATAGGTTGAATGATGCATTGAAGAGTATGAATTTGAAAATGAATGTCTTGAAAACCAAGATTATTGTGCTTGACAGGGAAAACTGAGTGAAAAACTGGAGTGGAGCTCACAGTGAAAAACTGGAGCAACTAGATTGAATATGTGTACCTTGGAATGTACATTTTCCATAAAAGATGGAAAATGGATGGAGAAATCTGAAAAAGTGCAAATTATGGAATAAAAATGGTGAATGTTGAGTGGTCTATTGCAAGGATTGAATGTTTGTCGAAAGAAGTGGAAATGGCTGTCTGTAAGAGTGTGCTTCTATCCAGTTTGTTACATGCAAGTGAGAATTGGGTATGCCAGGAGAAAAAATAGGTTGAAAATATTGGAAATGGGATACTTAAGAGATGAGGTGAACAATGAATGGGTGCTGAATGAATGTGAATTGAATACAAAAGGGAGTAATCAGTACAAAAGGTGTCTTTTTGTGCTTGCAGTGGTTTGGACCTGTAGAAAGAGTGAAAGAGGATCACATTATAAAAACAAATATAGAGAGTAAATGAGTCAAGAGGAAATGAAAGACCAAGGGAGTGAGAAAGTCTTGGTTGGATGGAATGATGGGATCCTCAAAAAGAGTTGAGAAATCAAAGAACGAAAGGCAATGTCTGCAGTGGTGTATGGAGGTGAAAGAAGCAAGGATGGTTTGCAAGGACAGAAAGTATGGAGAAGTGTAGGAAATGGCGCGGGCACAATCTAGCTTTGGCCATGTTTCCTTTTCTTGGCGCATGCCTTTATTTTTCATACTATTTTTTATTCCTTTTCCTCACTCTGCATACCATTGCTTTCCACTAAAGGGAACAGAGTGATGAATGTATGTATGTTTTTGCCCTGGTTTTACCTCCTTATTTGTCCTGACTTCACTGAAGATTTTAGACCAGTGTTTCTCAACCTTGGCAACTTGAAAATGTGTGGACTTCAACTCCCAGAATTCTGGAGTTGAAGTCCACACATCTTCAAGTTGCCAAGGTTGAGAAACACTGTTTTAGACCATCAGATGGTCAAGGGCAGATCCTGTCGTCTCCAAATTATGCCTCCTTAAGTTGACTCACCATCGATCTCTGAAAGATCACTGCTTGGAATTTTCTGCAGATGGTTGAAATACATATTTCCTACGGCTGCCAACAGAATTGTTAGTTGATGAATCACTGTTTATGTCATTAATTCAAGTTTATTATCAGGGAAATTTCAGGACAAGGATCAGCCAGCCAGCTGATGCCACTGAAGTTTCTATCCTTCCCCACCCAGTCCCTTCTGCTATTACACGTTGCAGAGCAAAACAGTACAATTGAAGGGGCTGACTTTCTGCCCTCTTTCCTCTTTGTAGAAATGGGATATGATCAAGAAGTCAACTTCTGCCCCCAACATAGTTCTGGTCAACTTAAAAAACAAAAACCGCCAACTCATGAGATCATGAATGTCCCCCTTTTTGTTTCAATCGCTCTGACCTCAGAAGAAGTTGGAAAATGATTTTATGTTTATACTTCCTAGGAGAGCTGTATCATATGGCTGTAATACCTCAAGAATGATACGTATGTATGTACACGTGTGTGTCAAAATGCATTGAATGCACCTTTCTGAAAGCTCTTTCGTTCACTATGCGTTCCCATTTCGAGGATGTTGTAATTACGGGCGATATTCCTCAGCCTTGTTTTTATCTGCCTGCTAGTTTTCTTCTTTCCTGTTTTTATGTCCATTTTGCCCCTTTAGCAGGTCATGGAAGAGGAAATTGGATAACAAAGTTATTCCATTAGCAATAATAGCAGAACTGTCAGTGCAACTTGATTGACCATCTGTTGGGAAGAATCAGTCTTATTACCCTTTGGCACAAGGTCTTCCTCACCGAGCCATTTACAAATGCTTTTTGTTTTGCATCATTTAAACATGTATTGCATTTATTTCACAGAGTACGTTTTGTTTTTAGGGATTTTCTGCAGGATGTTTGTTTTAATTTTCATGTAGTTCAGTGGAGGAGTGGGCCTGTGCCCTTATTTCACACGTTTGTTTGTTTATATGCCGCCCGTCTCCCTCAGAGGGTGACTCTGGGTGGCTCGCAATTAAAATCCAAAACAGTAAAAATATAAATATCCATATTAAAATTAACTAATAACAATTCTATATAAAAAGACTATGTACAATTCAAGATGATGGAGGGGAACAGTATTGATTGCCCCACCAGCCAATTCCAACATTTCTCAATGGATTGACCCAACAGAGTCAATCTAGTCTGTGGAGGAGCCATGTAACAATAAGGCACATTTGTTTGCACTGAATATCTTGTTTCTGCCTTTCCTAGCAGATGGATATTTTCCAGTTCTCTCAATAGAAACTTTGTTTTTCAGCCATGTTGTCCTGCTGGAAATATCTTCTGTGCAAACCCAGTGTTTTCATGCAAATGCATGTTGTTTTTAACCAACCAATGAACCTCACCATAGATATATTGAAGTCACATCGTTTATCTTCTTAAAAATAATATTGAATTATTCTTTGCAGTCTCTTATGTCTCCTCATCTCATTTCTCTTTCAAGGTCCAAACATTTCAAGAGAGAATTGTTCTCTTTGTCCTCAACTGCATCATTTTTGGCATGTTAGAGGGGAGCTTGACTCACAATACAGTATTTGTTCCTCATCCTAAGAAGGAACATTCCAAAATATTCTGGCGAAGTGGAGAAGCTGCTGCTTTTTATACCATCAAAAAAAAAGGTATGTCTACATTGAGGACTCTTCCCATCTCTAAGCATGCTTAAGAAAACAAGAAGCAAAAAGGACCAGACTAGTTGAGATAATCCTATCTTGGCTGAATGGATGGGATGGTGGAGGGCATCTATGGGGTTGTTTCGCTTTGAGGTCAGTGGGTTTATTGTGGTAGGCCCTGCCCACTGTGACAGCCATGTGTCTGGCTTGTGAATACAGGTAGTCCTCGTTTAGCAACCACAGTTGGGACCAGCCACTTGGTCATTAAGCAAAGCGGTCACTAAGTGAAACCACAACTTCAGCTTTCTTTTGCTTTGCAGACCTGCGAAGGTCGTAAATGTGAGGATTGGTTGCAAAGTTATTTTTTCATCCCCGTTGTAACTGTGAATGGTCACTGTACGAGGCAGTTGCTAAACAAGGACTCCCTGTATACCCACCATTTGCTCTCAGAATTCCAGAATAATCTGCAGCCCCCAAAGGTTGCCTTCCTCTGTCCTTATATTGATAGCTCAGTGACAAAATGGCTCGTGTCAATGTCAGTCAGGTAAATTGCCTATTCACCAGTTGATTTCTCTAAAGCATATATCACGCATCTCACTTAAGCCATAGTTGCTTGAATAATCACGGTGCCTGGGTTTGCCTAAGACACTAATCCAGAACTTACTAATGTGCTTCACATTTTAGACCACCAACAATACCCTCTTTTCTATCCAACCCCTTAGCATTATAGGAGTGAAGGAAATTGCAATGCACCATATTCAGTCGAGTTCATTTATAGACTGCCTGTCTAAGCCGTTTGGTTTTGGTTTAAAGGTGGTATGAACCCCAGCTGTTGCAGTTTATAAAGCCTGGCTTATGGTTTAGCATTCCATTTGAACTTAGCTGTGATTCACTCACTAAACTATGGTGAAAGGGACCATGGTTTAAGGAAATCTGTAACTATTTCTGCCACGGCACCTGCCCTTTGGAACATCCTTCCCCCTGAGATTAGATTGGCTCCGTCCCTTTTGGCCTTTTGTAAGGCCTTAAAAACCTGGCTTTGTGCTCGAGCCTGGAGCCCTGGGCGTGGGTTAGAGCCTGTCTCCTGGTTGTATGGAGGATGGATTAGATGGTCCCTGGCTGGTTCTTATTTTTATTTTATTTTATATTACATATTTTGTGTTTTTATTTGTTTTATTGGAAGCCCCCTAGAGTCACATAAAAGTGAGGTGGGCGGCTAGATAAATCAAGTAAATGGATGGATGGATGGATGGATGGATGGATGGATGGATGGATGGATGAACCCAGCTATGCTTGAGAGTGGATAAGGTCTAAAGCAGTTTTTTTGCAGGGGTTTTTCCGGGAACTGCCTTGGACTGTCTGCATCCAGAGGTGCTGAGCCATGCTGTCCTCCCTAAGCGTGCTGAGCTAGTACTGTGGCTCTTTTAAAGGCTTTTTCTTCCACTACCTAGAAAGGTTTCTTTGATGCTTCGAATTTCCCATCAGCTTCCTGTAGCAAAACATGACTTCTGGGTTCCAGTCACATGGCAGACACAGCCTCATCTTTCTGTCCTCCTCCTTGGTCTCGCGCACACATTTTTTCAAAAAATGACTGTTTTGCAAAACTCGGCATATAATTTAATGAAATGAACGCCTGCTGTAGGCCAAGCCGTGCCTGCCTGTAATTTGCGTCGAAGCCAGAGATTCTGCTCTCTTCCTACGGCTTTGGTGTCGGCATGCATACACAAAACCCCACCATGGGTTGACTTTGGGCCCCTGGCAGCCAGGCCTGCTCTCTCCTGCTCGACCCGGGCACTCTTTGCCAGAGGTCTCTCCAGGCCAGCATCTGCCAAGCCAGCTTGTTAATGAAGGAACTGGCTGGAATGTGCAATTTTGTTGGGTTAGGGTTCTTCAGATGTGGGGCAGGCTGGGGTAGGAGTTTTCCCGGGCTGTTGGATGTTTCAAGAGCGTTAATGGCTGTCTCCTTTCTCTGCTCTTGTAATTGCTGTTTACCACTCCTCTGGCGTATAGGTTAGTCGTTCAGCCTAACCAAACAGATTAAGGGGTCCCGGGGAGTGAACTCGACAAGGGCATCTTTCTTTGGCCTCCCTTGAGTTTTCCTGTCTTGGCCTTCGCCCGTGACCACTGAGGCATTTCTATTGAAAGAACAATACCAGGGCTTCACGTGTTGGGGACAGACAGACGTGATTTTGCTCCGTCTCTAATGCTGCCGTCCAGCCCTCCTAGCAGCCGTACGTAGTGAAAGATGATTGACAGTCTCTGGCTTTTCTCCAGTCTGGGCCCCACAGAAGGGGGAATTGCACACTTTCTCCCTAATCCCAGATAAATGAGTCCTGGAGTCCTGCAGTATGTGGTCAGTGGCCAGGATCCTGCCCCCCACCCCATCCCTTTATCTGAAGCCGCCATACCTGGGCTGCAAAAGGATGGGTCGCAGCCAAGATACAGAAAAGGAACTCTGGGCTACCATCTAGTGGTGGTTCAAATTTTTGAATCCCAGATGTTATAGACTTACCTTATGCATTAACAGGTAGTCCTTGTTTAGCAACCACAATTGTGACTCCATCACTAAGCAAGGCAGTCGCTAAGTGGGAAATCACATGACCACGACTGTGCTTCCCTTCCCCCCACTCCCCTGCCCTTTGGAATGCTTACCCCAGGGCTGGGATAATTAGCAAGAAGGGAATTAATGTTTGTATTCACATTCATTGGAGAGGCATACGATGGGGAATACACATCAAAAGCAATGTGCTGGTGCAGGTGTGTTTCCCATTGTATGCCAGCTTACTCTCTTGTAATCCCTTCCCCTCCAATCCCTCCACTCGGGGCGGGGGGAGAAAAACAGCAGGTCAAGTACAGGACAATGCGTACTGACTGTAATGGTGATCACATGACTGAGGGATGCTGTGAAGATTGTAAATGTGGGCATTGGTTGTAAAGTTACTGTTTCAGCACTGTCGTAACTTCAAACGGTCACTGAACGAGGCAGCCAGTAAATGAGGATTACCTGTACCGTATAGGGAGGGAAGGTGGATGCCAGTGTTATATCAAAATCTGCCTTGCTGTTTCTCAAAAAATGTCTTCCCTTGTGGAAGAAGCTTCTGTTTTTCTACCTTAATCTCAGGTAATCAAATTCTCTTGATGGAGATGTTATGCTTTTGTTGGTGGGGGCAAAAAATATGCTAGCTTCTTTTCTGTGACATCTTTCCATCACATGGAACCCTACCTGGATGCCCAGGTCCCTTGTTCTAAAAAAGTACCTTGGGAAGGGGCTTTCTCATGGTTTCTCTTAGGATTGAGAAGAAGTATGAAGAGCCAGGGAGGCTGTAGACCAGTGTTTCTCAACTTTGGCCACTTTAAACTTTAAGTGGGGAATTCTGGGAGTTGAAGTCCACGCAGCTTAAAGCTGTCAAGGTTGAGAAACACTGCTGTAAACTGCTGGATAGCAGGTTGTCCAGTGAAAGGTGAGGTGCTGACGCTATGGGCCGTGGCACCAATAAATGAATTCAACAACGTGCTTTACCTATGAGATTTCCATCAAAATGCTCTTCTCCTCTGAAAGAAATTTCACAAACAAATTTTCTTTCATCAAATGTAAGGGAAAATGGTAGAGGAAAAATGGAGGAGATTTTTTTATTTTTTTTGGCATGGCCTTAGCAAACACCCCCGTCAAGCAAAGTGCGATAACAAAGCATGTAACTGTGCCAGGCGTCTCCCGAATAGAAAACAAGGGTATTATAGAGATGACCTCCGTTGATTGGATTTCTCAGTTTTGACCAACTTGACCCTCTGCATATATGTGAGTACTTCCCTCCCCCTAAGTCTCCAAGAGCTATTCCATTTCATAGAATTATGTTTGCTTTCAGTGAAGGTTCAGGACCATGCCAATATGGCAAATACCTTCCCCTTTGTTTGCGTTTGATTTGACAAACTGGTTTCCCAGCTTCTTCCAGGCATAGAGGTTCCTTCCATTCTTTCTCTGCAGCTAAAAAGTTATTTCTGCCAATTCCAAAACGATTTCTAAAATTATGCTTTTAGAAAGAGGACAAGAACGAGCCAGATTCAAACAAGAGTTTCCCACCGTTCTGTGGAAGGTTCCTTCATGGGTTGTCCGTTTTCTTTCTCACCTTCACCAGAAGGCCCATTTCGGGCTGCTCAGATAACACGTTGTGGGTTTCGTTTTGAAGTGGCATGAAATCATGTATGCTTTGAGGTGTACTTTGGAAAGTAATGCGAAAGGGAAGATGGACTAAGGCTTGCAAGTGTGTGGACTGTATGCAATTCGAGCTGTCTCATAGACACTGAACTGTTAAAAATGCAGAAGCATGTAGCAAATGTATAAATGCTCAGGTAATTGAATACCTTTGTTTTTCTTAAACCTTAGTAACTAGAAAGAACACCGAATATGCAAGTTCCATTCAGGGGTTTCCTTGTTCGATCCCCAGCATCTTCATGCCAGTCTGGGAAAGGCCCTGGTGTGTTGGCAGTTAATTCTGAGCTAGACAGAACAATGACCATTTACTGTGCTCTGTGTTCTTATTCTTTGTTTTAATTATTAATATGCAATGGAAAGACATGGTGGAATCAGTTTTGAGATTATTGTGGACGTAATCATGAATCATTCCCAAGTTGCATTGGGGTTAAGCCGTTAGGATAGTATCTCAAATGTAATAGTTAAATGTCCAGTTGTCCTACATTTTACTTTCTATGAGGTTTTGTTTTTTGTTTTTTTGCAAATATATTATCTGCCTACTTTTCGTTGCATTTCTGTTTTCATCTGGTGGATGTGGCCTGAGATTGCAATCTAAGTTATCTGGTTCTTAGAAACAAGAGGACTTTGCTTCTAGATGTTCAAAAGAAAGTGTCTTCTGTGTGAGTCCATTTAGTTTTGTTACACCTTTGTCTTCCTGATTTGTATTTATCAGTTGTTTGCGCACGTCCTTCAGTGACCCCATATTTCGCTGTCTGTAGTGGCCCTTTCACTTACCAATCTCATTCTGGGAATTTAGTGGTGGTTCTTGCTTTGTTGGGGCAAGGCTGCATCAAATGAATGGTTGAGATGGTAAAAGGCTGGTTGTGTTGACCGTGACAGGGTTGATGTGGAATGGGGCTACAGCACTCATGCAATCCCCTTTTAAGGCCACGCTGGACCTCATAGCACAGACTCTGTCAGCTTCCCAAAATGAATGGTATCCTGTGGCCAGAATCTGACATCTCTCTTGGGCTGCCAGGCAGTCCAACTTGTGTTGGGTTTCTCGGCTGATCATGGGCCTTATGCTTTTCTTAGCTCTGTCCATATGCTCCAACTGTCTGAGTAATCAGAGAGCAATGAGACCCACCCAAAGAGGTGCCTTATGCTGCAAAATTCTTGGACCGTTGAAGAAGTGGGCTGCCCTTGTAAATGTAACAGCAAAAACATACTGTTCGTGGTTGGGCAATGAGTAAGTCTGATAATCTGCTGATGAGATCAGGGAAGGAAATGAGAGCTCGCTTCTCCAAGACCTCAGGACTCCTTCTCTAAATCAAGAGCCTGTTTTAGCCAGTGGTGCAGACTTTATAATTCAGGGAGCTCAGTGCCATGGTTTGTGATTCTTCCTGTTTTCTCCAGGAGGCACCAAAAACAGAAGGGTGCAAAGAACTGAGGGGCCATAATAGTGTAGCTAAAGGACAGTGAGCAAGCTTGAAAGGTCACAAATTGTGGGGGATCAGTTGTGTGTTTCTCTGTGGGGCAGCACCTTCCAAAACACGGTTGGAGTAAGAGAAGCCAACCTATTTTAAGAGTCAGATACATTTTAATGAGTGGATTCCTTATACAGGTGCATCTTATTTTCCATGCTCGCATGAAGCCTGAAAATAGGATTCCATAATGAATAGGAGAAAGATCCTATATGTGTGTGTAGATGAGACACTTAAGACCAACCAAAACAGCACAAAAAGATCACAGAATCAGACAGTTGGGAGGGACATTGGATGTCTTCTGCTCCAACTGCCATAGGAATCCTGATACCATCCTAGGCAAATGGCTGTCCAGCCTTTGTTTGAATACCTACAAACAAGAATCAGTGTGGTTTAGCAGTTAAAATGCTGGACTTGGAGCAGGAAAACGGGAGTTCTAGTCCTGCCTTAGCTACAAAGCCAGTCACACTCTCTCAGCCCTAAGAAGAAGGCAAGGGCAGAGCACTTCTGAAAATGCTGCCAAGAGAAGGTAGTATGGACTTGTCTAAGCAGTTGCCAGGAGTCAGGACTAACTGGGTATGGATAGATAAATAGATAGAAACAGGAAACAGTCTTTTCCACTGCTTAAGAGGTCTCATTCCTCCTTATTTCACAATTGGATCTTCCTCTATAAAGCTTCTACCTGTTGGTTCTCGTCCGACCCTCAAGATCTGTGGAGAGGAAATCCTGAGTTCTCCAGAACTTTGAATCAGGCAAGAGATGACCAAAAACAGGATGAGGAACAAATGAAAAGGTCCAAAAAGTGGGCCACGTGTTTCAGCCACAAGATGGAGATTCATACCGCAAGAAACTGTTCATGAGCTCCCTTGAAGATATGCTGTCCTTCTGGGCTGCTTTGTGTTCTGCTTGCAGGAAATTTGTGTGACGGACACACCAGCCAGTGTTACATGCTCCCTGTGTTAGACACCATGTTTGTCCGAAGGAAGTTTAGAAGATGTGGACTTGGGATACAAATGCTTCAGGATTTTTGCCAGTCTTTTCCATCTGAGGATGCCTTGGGACTCAGCTGCCCTCTTTCTGCTGAAATGGAGAAAGGTAAGGTTTTAGGGTTCAGTAGAAGGAGTAGAGTTTAAAGATCACAAATGCATACGGGCAAGGATCACAGCTGCCCATGCAAACAGACCCAAGATAAATATTTGGCATTTTCACGGGGGGCTGGGAAAGAAACCAACAGAGGTAGCTCTGGCCAGAATAGGCCACAGTGGGCAGCCTACAGGCCTCTTACGCCTCTTCCGAATCCCGTTTGCTGTCCCTGAAGAACTGTAAAATCCACTAAAACTCAGTGGCAAAATGGCCAAGTTTTGGAGCAAAAATGCTAAAATCGCTTGCTTGCATGCACCTTGAATAGGAACATTCCACACTGCAATATTTAATTTCAAGTTCCCACTTTCAAACTTACTGTTTAACTTTTTTCGGACATGCAGAATCCCATCACATCAGAGAACTAATGCCACTGAAAAACGTATTATATACGACTATGATGATTTTTGCAACACAAACACCCTCAATTTCAAGGCTTGGAGACTCCCTAGGAGTACTTCTGCCCTTTGCTGTTCCTCTCTCCTTTGCTGCCTGTTCACTTCCGAGCTTGCTAGAGCGCCCCATCATGCGCCCCAACGGCAGCTGGTCACGCCACACCTGGACCCAGCAGGGATCCTTCCAGGGACCGTTCCTCTGCTTAGGTAAAAGGTTCCGTCCTGTATCCAGACAGGTACTGATGTGGTGTTTTAGTTTTTGAAACAACTCCAGGTTCTCTGAGTTGGATCCTATAGATTGCGGTTCCGGCTTCATTCCTGGTTCTGTCACTCTGAAGCTGTTGCTTCAATTAAAGGGCACAAGTGGTGGGAGGACGCACAATGTGGCCAACCAGATGGGGAAAGGGTGGTGAGATATGAAGTAGTGTAAAGCTCCCCAATCACATTTGTAGGCATATGGCTTTATGATTTTAAGCGTGTATAGCATAATGTAAATGCACAACTTAAAAGACCTTAGTCTGAAAGCCGGGATGAAAAATTTAAAAAATGCTGCCAGGGCCCTTGAATAGGTTAGGAAGAAAGATGTTTCTTCACAGGGGACACAAACGTTTTGAGAAATTAGGTTTTGACTCATAAGCCTGATATCTCATTACATTTGTTGTAAACAATCTACACTTGATCTTAGCCAATAGACCAAGAAGTAATGTTGTTGTAAACAATCTGTTACCCTCTGGGATGACTAGCAATTCTTGAAGCTTGATACGCCATTCATTGCAGGGCATGGGCTCCAAGAATTGGAGGATGGGGGGGGGGCTTAATATATGCATTTTGAGTGCGGCAGATAGATAATTAAGATGGCGTTCATTCCTAAGCATCAAACGCTCAGTGCTGTCTTTAATTAAGCCAATGCAATCCTTCTTAACTTATTCTTGTTGGAATAATGCGTGACGTCAGTCATACCTGTGGAGGGTCATCTTCTTATAAACAGCTGTGCAATGTCTACTTAGATAAATCACTTTTTTTAAAAAAAGGGGGGCCCAGATGCTGTTGTGAAGAAAAACTTATGGTTGACCGGAAGACATAAATCAAATCTTCCAGACAGGATTTTTCACTGCTTCCAAATGTTGTTAGTAAATGTTATGCAAGAAACCTTAGAAGTCACAGACAAACATTCATCAGACCACATTCTTACAGCCTGCTCCAAAGGCAGATATAAATGAAGTGAAATAAAATGCTCAAGTTGTTGTGGGAGGGGTCAGTTCCATACACAAAATGATAATTTCTCCCTGCGTGTCTCCTAAACTCTCGTTGGAGCAGGGCAAGTCCATATGAACTGCTTGTCCCAATTCTGCTATTCTGCTTATCCCCTAAAAAATGGAACATCCTGGATTTGTGTGCTATATGATTGTCAGTACAATTTTGGAGTCCGTTAGAGACTCTTCTTGGCGTGTGCCCCTTGGTAGGATCACTGAAAATCTTGCTGAGTTCCCTGGCACCACTGGGCAGAACTTTGCTCTTGGTCCCAGACAGCATAATAATGAGGAATGCCCTGAAAGCAACAGGGTTACCTTGCCCCTTTTGAAGCAAAGAACGAATACCATCTAAAGGAGGAAGATGAGTTCCATAAAAGTCCATGCAACTTTTATTCTGCATCATCTAAACTTGTGCCTTCTGCATGATTCTATCATTTAAGTACTAATGACTGAAAATTACTGAATGGAATGGTTAGGTGGTGGCTGTGAAGAAGAATGTAAGAAGTGAAATATTGTGAAATACTTTTGCATTTGCAAAAATGTGTGGTCAACACAGCTGGTTTAACATGTTGCCTTTGAAATATTGTTCCCATGTTTAATGCCTACAGAAGAGACTATTGTGATCCTATGGGTAGTAAGCAATAAATAACTCCAGGTGGAGAGATTGGAAGAGCACATGTTGGAGGTAGCGAGAATTTGTACATCATTACTTTTTGCATTCCTGCTGTTCCCTATTTAGTTTGTCAAAGGTTCTTGGAGATTTACCCAAAGGAGCGATCTCGGCTGTGGGAAGTGGAAGCACCAGGGGACTGGACCCAGCGGGTTAATATCTGGCTAAAAATCCAGCTGGAACAAACCTTTCCAAAAAGTGAGTTGAAGAACAATGATTTTTGGCACATCTGTTCATTTATATCCTTAACAATTGAAAGTAAAATTGCGGAGGGCCTCCTGAGAGTGTTTGAGCAATAAATCATTTCCTGGGAAATTGGCAGAAATTTTTTTCACTACTGTAGTTGCATATCTATCTGTTCCCCTGATCAGGTTCTGGTCCTTTTTGCGAGGAAAGAGAATATAGGTAGTCCTTATTTAGTGACTGCCTCGTTTAGGGACCGTTCAAGTTACAACAGTGACGAAAAAGGAATGTTGTGACCAATCCTTGCATTTATGACCTTCACAGGTCTGTAAAGCAAAGGAAAGTTGAAGTCAGATCATAAACACAGTCGTGGTTTCACTTAGTGACTACTTCGCTTAACAACTGAGTTGCTGGTCCCAATTGGGATTGCTAAACAGGGACTATGTATGAACTGATCTTGAACCGCAATCTCTGTATGATTGCCTGACTCACAGAGTGCTAAAATTTGCATTTAAAACTTCTCTAAGCATAAGAATGAGATGAATTAGAGGGAAAACCCTGATCTATCACTTTTTAAAATGGATATATATACATATACATATACATATACATACATATATATATATACATATACAGATATATCTATATCTATATATCTATATCTATATCTATATCTATCTACTGATCTGCATTTGTCTTCCTTTATAGCTTTCTTAATACAGCCTCCCAAATATAGGTGTTTAAAACATTACTGTCCAAGGAATAGTTTTTTTTGTTTGTTTTTAAATATCTCTTTTTTTAACTGTTAAAACTTTATTTAGCAATAATACAGCATATACAGATATAGAGATATATATTCATTTTCCTCTTTTACAAGGTTCATCAACAGTGCTCTGTGTTTTTTTTTTTAAGTCTTGTTATCCTTTTATTTAAAACAAAAGTGAATTTTCAAAAAAGATTATTTGTGAATGAACATATAATTACTGAGGTTATACAATTATTGCTCAATACAGTATAACACTAGTAAAAGATGCCAAACAGAGTGTATTGAGTTATTTTTATGATATAAAAAGAAGTAAAAACTTTTGAGCTTAATGCCAACATCTCCACTATATTGTTTATAAATGTAAAAAAAGAAAAACACCCCTAAAAATAATATAGGCGTATATTTAAATTCTGATTTCTTCTTCTTTGTACTCCAATCGATCTGCAGTACCTGTTGGCATAAGCTTTAGGGAAAAAAACCCCTCTTTTTGAATACATCTTGGAGCATCTTTTTCAGCCTTACCTTTCCCAAACAGTATTTTTATTGGGTTGGTTGGCTAGATAAAGATGGATACAGGGTCATTTAGTGACCCCAATTGGGACTGGCCACTTGGTTGCTAAGTGAAACCACAACAGCTATTTATGATCTGACTTCAGCTTTCCTTTGCTTTACAGACCTGCGAAGGTCATCAATGCGAGGATTGGTTGTAATGTTACTTTTTGTCACTGTCGTAACTGTAAATGGTCACTAAATGAGGACTATTTGTACTTGCAAACTTCACAGATGCTCTAGTTACTGGAAAAAATTATTACCCATTTTTGGAGTCCATCTTGACTCTTGGTGAATTTAACTCCTGCCTTTAACCACTACACCAAACTGGCTCTCTGTGTGATCACTTTAGCTATTTAGCTATTAGCTATGCAAAGGCTGCCTTGAGTCTGATACTTATTCACTTCCCTTCAGGGATAGAAGATTCAGATAATTCAGCTTTAGCCTGTTGTTTTGACGTTTCAGAAACAGCCAGTACGTTTCCCAGAGTGATTTCATATGGGATTCCCTTAGACTCTTCCCATTTTGGATTATGTGGTTGTCTTCTTCTTTAAGGACTTAACAGTTTCACTTTTTGCCCTCTGATAAAATCACTTGCTGTTGAAACAAGAAACCTGTTTAAAAAAACAGCAACAATAAAACAAGGGAGCGGAATAAAAACAAACACACACAAAAATCCACGTCTTGCTGCAAGCCAAGGCAGCTTCTTAGCTACTGAGATAGGTGGGTTGGGGGAGTTGAAGCGAAGGCGAGTGAGCAGGGCAGGAAAAGCAAGAGGTCCTGGCCTAACAACAGTGCTGTCCCGGCCTAACGACCACAACTGGGACTACCGGAACTGCCGTCGCTAAGCAGTGCACTAACAGCTGCATCACTTAGCGACAGAAATTCCGGGCCCAATTGTGGTCGCAAGTTGAGGACTACCTGTAGAGACTGATTTCCCAAAACCTCCCCTCCCCCCCTTACGTAAATGTAGTTTTGTGTGTTGCATCACTAGTGTCATCTAGTGGCAGATATCTACAACTGGCCATGGGAAATATTTGCAGGGTGTACTCGTAAATTTGTTTACTTAGAATCAGGGGCTCTTGTTGCAGTGAGCTTGGCAGGGTTGAGCAGGCAGGCGAACAGCGACAATTATAGAATAATCATATGGAGTGGAATTAGATTTTCCACTTAGATTTGTTTGTGGAAACTCTTCCATTTCTGGAAGCATGTGGTTTTAAAAGCTAGCGTAGTACATAGAAACGATCAAGTTGAGCATGCAGAATAGATAAAAGCCAAGCTTAACACAAAAGTGTTCAGCTATGAAATCATATACCCCAAAGCGTCTGGTGGAAGCCATCGTTTGCACATCGCACTGTCATCATGTGAATGATGTGAAGCAGCTCACACACATTACATAGTTCATGTCATTTGCATGATAATGTCATGCATGTGTCGTGAATCCCTATGCAGATATAGGCGTACTACAGTGGGCTATTAGTAACATTTGTAATTGGTATCTAAGAGAATTGGTATTTAAGGGAATATTTGTATTTAAGGGAATATTTATAACTTAAGTTTACAGAAATACAACCAGTTTTCAGTACCTTCATTCTCCCTTTCTCCTGTTTAGAATATAAATAGTGCAAAAAGGATATATATCTAAAAATGCTTATAAGTATTCCAAAAGTGTTTGAATTTGTCAGAATATAATATTTAAACACATTAAATGTGCTCTGTTAATACTTACCCCATAATTGCAATTCAAACATACTTAACTATTGAAGAAAGATTAGAAATATTTATATACCTTCTAACATGTATACGTTATATCGCTAAGTATAAGTCAAGCTTAGGAACCTCAAAATTTAGCAGTTGGAAGCAGGACAGCTAAAAACCAAAGTTTTTTTCCCCCCGTAAACCTGGGGATTTACGTTTGTGAATCAAAAGAAAACATAATTTTAAAAGGGGTCCCGTAAAAGCAGGACATCTTCATTGTTTCCAGGGACATGCCCGCTATCAGTTGAAAAATTATTGTGGGAAAGAGAAGCTACTTCGACTATAATAATAAATAAATTAAATAATATTATTTAATCCAGGGGAAATACTCCCCAAAGATTAGGTTAAGCCAAGCCAAAAATTAAATCTGATTTAATTTATATTTAAGTTCAGTGAAGATGGAGCAATATACTGTAATTACGGTCCATTTATGTATAGAACAGTTCTGTCGCATTAAAAATGACTGTTTGGGGAAAATTTTGGAAGACTGCACCCCGTGTCTTCAGAGTCCAACGTGGTTTTGAGGCTTTGCACCTCTGGTTTTTAATATTCTGGAGGAACATCTGGTGCTCTAGCTGGAACCTTGAATAGGTTTATAGGACATGGTGATTCGACATAGAAGATAGACTGCAGTCTTATGGAAGTCCAACTTTTCCTTCTCCTGTTATATCTTTAAAACGCAATGCCTAGCATTCTGTAGTTTCAGAACCAAAAGCCAATTTGTGATGGTTTGTTTTGTGCAAAAATGAAAAGCGTTGACAAATATACATATCTCGTATACTACACCAAAAGTTAACCTGAGATGGACACTCAATGAAATTTTATTCATTGATTTGTAATTGTCCGTTCACTTAAAAATAAAGGTGTGAATTAACCCCATAAACTTGTATAAGCAATATACATTTCTCAGTAATCTTCCATGTGAGAGTTTAAACATCACCAAGCCAGTGGGGCTGATGGTTCTCTAGCCACTTGCCAATCTTTTTGGAATTAGGAAGATATTCACTAATTCCATAAATGGGATGAGGAGTTGCAGGGGAAATTCCTTGCAGGACATCTTAAAAGTTGAGATCCGGAAGGCAAATGGCTAAGTCAGCTGGCCTGAACTGTTGACAGGCCCAAACTAGCCCTAAATCAGGATCCTTTTTTTTTTTTTTTTTTTTTACGCCAACACATTTCCTTAAAAGCGGCAATACCTTACTTGAGAGTTGATCAGTGGAGATTCTTTCGCTCACTGGCGTTCCTGCGTGGAACAAAATGGGTGGGGTATCAGAATTGGGAGTAATTGCACGTAAGCAATATATGGAATGTCTCTTCTAGATGCGGACGTAAGCTGTTGTATGCCAAAGTCTCAAGATGGTGAAGCAGAGCAATTGGAGGAAGGACGGATGAATACAGTGAGCTGATAAAATCGGTGCCTGTGTAACGTGCTCCAGATTATTTGATCGGGGGGGGGGGCTATGCCAGCAGTGACAGATGCCTCCTCAGTGATAGGCAATTGATTTATAAGCTTAGTTAGTAAATACCGGGTGACAGATGTCTATGACAGTTAAAACTGTATTCTTTTTATTGAGAACTATGAACAATAGGTGGATTTTTTGTGTGGTTCTCCAAACTCCACCCAATGCCATGATGTATTTCCCCTTCTGCTCTTAACTAAATTCTAGCCTTTGTCAGTTGCAAAGCATCTTTGGGGCCGCTTTCAGAGCAAAGTTTGGGATTATTCATAGAATCATAGAATTAAAAGGTACTTTCGAGGTCACTGAGTCCAACCCCCTGATTAATGCAGGATCCAGTGCAGAATCTCTGGCAGATGACCATCCAGGTTATGTCTGAAGACCACCAGCAAAGAACTGTTCAGCGCTTCATGTGGTAGACTGTTCTGCTGGCTCATGCGGTCAGGAAGAGCCACCTGATGTCCATTCTGAAACCTCCTTCCTTCTAGTTTAAACCCACTGGTGGTGGTTCTGCCCTCTGGGTCAATGGAGAATAAGTTTGCTCCTCCTTCTGTGTGACTGTTCGGCTATCTGAAGACTTCTATCATAACTCCCCCGAGTTTTCTGTAGGCTAAAAATACCCAGATCCTTTAACCATTCTTCATAGGACTTGGCTTCCAGAGCCTTTACCATCTTCATAGCCTTCCTCTGAGTTTGCGCCAGCTTTTCAATGCCCTTTTTGAACAGTAGTGCCCATTTTAAATCTCTGCTTGATGACAGTGGCAGATGGAGATGAGCTTAACGATCATGGTTGCTAGTTAAGGAACTGTGATGGAATGTGAGGGTGACCTTGAAAGATGGGGGGAAGAGATGCTGCCTAGGGAACAATCAGATAAAAGAGAAGGGAGTCTGCAACAGAGTCACAACCAGAGAAAGAAACTTAAGGAAGACCCAACCTAACTACTCAGGGAGTAAATAGGGCAGGAGATTTGTACTTTAAGACTTGCAAGATTCTGTTCATGTAGCCTTACAGTAAAGTAGAATTAGTTCATCTACTCATGTTTCCTGTCTGGTTTACCTGGGAGGGCTGACATCAGTCTTGCAAGTCTCAAAGTATGAATCTCCTGTCCTCCTTATTTACCTCCTGAGTAGTTAGGGCAGGTCCTTCCTAAGTTTCTTTCTCTGGCCATTGCTCTGTTGTGGACTGCTTTCTCTTTTATCTGATCGTTCCCTAGGCAGCATCTCTTCCCCCCCATCTTCCAAGGTCACCCTCCCATTCCATCACAGGAACTGTCGTTCTTTGGGGGATCTAGGAATCTCCAGCAAGAGTTATGACATCTTTATAACAGTGGCCAATTGCCGGGTTTACTGGCGCAAGGCACCTGGCCCTGAAGTCTAGAGGAAAGCCCCCAGCACCAGCAGGTACCTGTAAAAGAAAAAGCTATTTCATTGATCACCATGCAACCATAAAATGTCTGGCCAGCTAGAATCCTCTTCTTAACCAGGACCAATCTCTAGGTTTCCATTCACAAATACACAAACATTTGCATGTCTGTACATTTTTTAAAAAGATCCTCGGATGTTTTGGCTTGTTTTACACGCCTATGAAGCGTTACCCTATGCTAAAGTCGGGAATATAAGTGAAAAAATTCTTTACAAATGCCTTTCCTCAAACTCATCTTGTATGACTTCATGAAGACGATTATCTCTTGTGCCCTGCCCCACCCAGACCGTGACCTGAGTGGATTAAAATGATCATCAATCGGAGGTTTTTTGTTAGGTGTTTCTATGATTTCTAATGCACAGATCTGCATCTGTTTTCATTTAAGAGAGTTGGCTGCATTCTGCCTCTTGGAGCACTGCCAGATGAAGCCAGGGCCTGTTTTGATGACAGCGGAGAGGCCCGGGAATCATCTCCTCGCAGTGATGAACCCCTGGTTCAGTTGAAAGCTGAAGAACGAAAAGATTTGAAGAAAAGAATGAGCAGAGGGGAACCAGCTGAAGGGAGTGTTTCCAAGCACTTTAGAACAATGTCCTAATTTTTGCAAACGGCAGAAGCAAAACAGGACGTGAGAAGGAGTGGGGCACAAGAACGCTGAGGATCGGAGAGTGAATCAGAAAATCCCTAATGGATATTTCTTCATCGATGGAAGTATTTAGGCTACGATACTCTTCTTTGGTCTTGCTTTTGTGACATAGGTTCCATGAAAATGACCTGTTCTACCAAGCTGTTGTAAAGGCTGAATGAGCAGTGTTCGCATTCAGAAATATTATATACATGTGCATTTTTCTTCTGATGGTGATTCATGGAATAAACTATTTTTAAGAGTATTTAAAAAGAATGCCTACAGTGAAGTTCTTGGAGGTTTTTTTCTTTTAAATCCCAAAGCAAACTCTCCTTTTAATTTCTGATGTTATCCAATCATCCCAGAAGAACTGAAATGTATTCTTTCCTTTAGAAGCAAACGTGCGAGTTTCTCTGCCTGTGCGAGAATTAACATTTTAACTGGAGATGAGAAATTGCATAGTTCATGGAAATAGGAAAAAAACAGGTTTCTGTATCCTGAAAGGGAAAGTGTCTGACCCTTTTCTGGATTTCCCCCCCCCTTTTTAAAAAAGTCTCCTTGGTTTAGATCAGTGTTTCTCAACCTTGGCAACTTGAAGATGTGTGCACTTCAACTCCCAGTTGCTGGCTAGGGAATTCTGGGAGTTGAAGTCCACACATCTTAAAGTTGCCAAGTTGAGAAACACTGGTTTAGGTTGTCAGCTCATACACTTGTTTTCTTGGAGGGAACTCAACTTCAAGAACATTCTTCGATGGTTCTCCTGGAACCGGAACATTTTCTTTCTGGAAGCTTCCATGTCATCTTGGGTTTTTTGGGGGCTTGGGGGGGAAGTAAGCATTTTATTTTGCTCTGCTTTGGCTAATCAGATACAGGCGCATTTATGTCCTGGTGATGGGGGCATATTAGTCTTCACGTAGGTGCGGTTGTGTTTAGGTGTTTGCTGCACTGGGTTATGTCCTTGAGAACTGCAAGTAAATGGAAGTAGTGCTGTAGCAAAGGCTGCATTTTTTCTGCCACTTCTGAAAGAGAATTTGCTTTCCAGATTTCTTTGCAAGGAGAAACGAATTTGGATGAAATGGAACGTGTTGTTCTTGGAATTACAGGATAGGTCGTATCCCATTCAGTCCCCTCTCCAAAGGTCTGCACCCCTCTGGCTTCCCACACTTCCGTGGAAACTTCTTCTGAGCCTTTTTCAGACCAAAAAGAGTGGTTTGGCAGAGAGGCTTCAGGGTGATGGGAAGAGATGTCATAGAAAAGAGCAGTAGGTCCTTCTGTCATTTCCAACAATAAGATAAGTGTAACGACAGCACCGAGTAAGGGAAGAAATCCACAGTGTTGCAAAGATAGAAATAAATGCTGCTTAGAAATTGTGGGGCAGATGTCAACACAGCATCGAGGGAGTCGCATAAAGCAATTTGTGTGTAAGTAAGGCACCAGTTCTCTCACCTTTTGACCCTCTTTTCCCTCACCTGCTACTCCTGTCCTTGTAAGACCTTCATTCTGTTTTGTGTGAATGTCTTGTTTTGCTATGATTCGATAACACCACGAGGTGGTGCCACCGCCCAGCTTAATCACTGCATCTGTGCCCTAGAGCTCTGACTGGCAGAGGTTCAAACATGAACTGTTGTACATGTTGCTCTTCTTTTTTTTTTTTTATAACTTTTTAGTGCCGACACGAGCAAGGAGGGGAACAACCCTTGTCCCTGATATTTACTAATCAGGTTCAGTTTACTTCTGAGAGGCTCCAGCTACCAAGGGTTGTGTTGTTGAGGATTTAAGGTGAAATTGCAGACATGGTCTGCAAGCAAAGGGAGCAGAAGTGATGCCCTGCAGAAAGAAAATTGGCAGGGTTGCTCCTCTGCCAGCTGAGGATACAGATTTTGGAAGCCACCCAACTCCAGGCGCTCAGAAATAGAAGTGGGCTTTGCGTGATTGGCATTGAGTTTCATGAAGTTATTAATTTCTCTCTCTCTCTCTCTCTCTCACACACACACACACACACACACACACACTCTGCTTTTGGTGTTGAGTCTTGCAGAGTGAGGGCATTACTAATAGAGGGGTCATGGATTTTGCATTTCCAGGCTCTGAAATCCAGATCTTGGTGACTCCTCATCCTACCAGACTTCAGGGAAAATAGATACTGTAGTTCTCCAGAAAAAGAATTGCCCTAAATTTAAGATGAAAGAAAGACTACTCTGAATGAAAGATTAAATGGTGGGGGAATGGGAGCCTCCTCTTTTAGTATTCTCAGTTCATCTCAGATGACTTTCCCTTTCCTCTGCAGGTTAAATTTAAATTATTGGTGCGTGGTGGGGGGAACTATTTTTCTTTTCTGGGTAAGTATAAGAGGTCCTCGGATGCCCGGAAGTGGGTTCAGCTTCTGAGACTTGGTGGCCCTCAGAAGGATGGAGGGAATGGGGAAAATCTTCTCCCTTGATAGTGGCTGAGCCAGAACTCAAGAGTCCCCAAAGCAGGGGTGTCCGCAGAGATCAAAAGAGTCAAGATGACAGCCACAACCATGTGATCAAAGCCTGGCCCTTTTTTACGCTCAGACACCTGGCCCAAAAGCTCCTCCCTGATGATTACTCTGGTTAACAAACCTATCTTCGTTGTGCACATGCACAAATGCGGGTGGCTGTGTTCTTGGCTCTCATAAAGCTATGATTTTAACCACAGTTTATCAAGCAAGCAACAAAGGCTGGGTTCACACATAATGCTACATGGTAAACATGGCTGAGCAACTACAATGGTTGGGCTAATGTATTGTGTGAGACACAGACCAAACAAATCCCTTGACTGGGATCCTGGATCCTAGTCAACCAATTTTTTTAACCAAGATTTGCCAAATAAGCCACAGTGATAAGACTCCTCCTTACCTCTCTTATAAATCAAGGTTAACAAGCCACAGTGGCAAAATGCTAAACCAAACCAACCGTGTTATGACCTCCTGCAACATTTCACCTTGACCCTTTTGTACATAGCATGAAATAAATTACAGGAAATTCCTTTATGGTCTCTAACCGTGGAGTCCTTGCATATGTTTTCCCCTTGTGGGCTGGTTGCTCAGATGACCGAAACACAGTAAAAGGGCTGTAGGAAATATTTCCCTCCCTCCCTCCCTCCCTCCCTCCCTTCCTTCCTTCCTTCCTTCCTTCCTTCCTTCCTTCCTTCCTTCCTTCCTTCCTTCCT